GTATCAATCTCTGCCTGAGATAGATCTATAAGCGGCAACACGTCTGGAGTAATTATCGTGATGTCTTCGGTAATCAGATTGGGTGGAATATTGACTGTCTGGTATTTGCCAATAGTCTCAGCTAGTGCGGCTAATGAAGGAGTATCAAATATTTCCCTGACACTGGTATCCAACCCGATATTCCGCAATTGTGTTAGCATTCGTATAATCAGCAAAGAATGACCACCTAATGCGAAGAAATTATCATGTCGACTAATATGCTCAATATCTAGCAGGTCGCTCCAAATTGCGGCTAATTTTTGTTCCATTACACTTTGTGGAGCCTCATATGTTTGACGGGCAAATGCTTTATCATCTGGAGCTGGCAGTGCACGTCGATCTAATTTTCCATTTGGTGTTAGTGGCAAAGATGGTAAACAAACATAAGCCACTGGCACCATGTAATCAGGCAGTAAGGATGCTAGATAATTGCGTAGGTTCTGAGCCAATGATGTGTCCTCGTCTGCCACTAAATAGGCTACCAATTGGGCATCAGAATCAGGCTTGGTTTTCCATGATAAAACAACAGCTTCATGTATCAGATGATGCTCATTGAGGAGGGCTTCAATTTCACCAGGTTCGATTCGGAAACCTCGTATTTTTATTTGTTGATCATTGCGTCCCATATAGACTAAATTACCGTCAGGCATATAGCGAGCACGATCTCCTGTTCTGTACATTCGCGTTCTGGGATTTTCACTGAATGGATCAGGTAGAAATCGTTCAGCTGTAAGTTCTGGTTGATTGAGATAACCACGAGCTACACCAGCACCACCAATATATAGTTCACCTTCGACTCCCAACGGCACTGGGTCTCCTTGTAAATCCAGCAGGTAAATACTGGCATTGGCAATGGGACGACCTATCGTTTCAATTACAATATTGCTACGTTCATATTTATGGCAAGTTGTATAAGTCGTTTCCGTTGGTCCATAAATATTACATAGTTTATCGATTTCAGTATGGCTGAAAATGCGGTTAATTAATCGAACGTTTAGTGGTTCGCCTGCCAAATTTAGGCTATGGAGCGAAGATGGTAAAGTTCCAGCATTTAATATTGCCGTCATTGCAGAAGGCACTGTATTAAATAGGGATATATACGACGGCATTTGTGTAATTGCGAGTGCATCCTCAACGATATGTATCGTCTTTCCCGTCGATAATGGCGCAAAACATTCGAAAACGGATACATCAAAAGCAATAGATGTTGAAAACAGGGTATGTTCTAAGTCTTCGGTTGTGAACGCTTCTTGACTCCAGTAAAGAAGATTTGTTATATTTCTGTGTTCAATCATCACTCCTTTCGGTGTTCCAGTCGAACCAGATGTATATATTACATACGCTAGATGAGAAGAATTGAGACCCAGTTTGATTGGATCCGGATTGTAGGCCAAATAGCCATCAAGAAATACTGTATCTAAGTCTAGCACTGGCACCTGATGAACGCCAAGTGCTTTATGACCGGCCCTATCTACCAACACACACATTGGATTGACATCATTCAAAATATTCGTTAGCCGTTGACTGGAGTAGGCCGGATCAAGCGGTACATTAGCGCCACCAGCTTTTAGAGTACCAAGAAGGGCAACAACCATTTTCGTGTTACGTTCAACACAAATTGCAATTCGGTCTTCTGGTTTAACGCCTAGCGTAATCAGATAATGTGCCAATTTATTTGCTTGAGCATTAAGTTCAGCATAATTCAAAGACTCTCCCTTGCACTTTACGGCAATAGTATGTCTGTTGCGAACTACTTGCTCTTCAAATAAATTGTGAAGCCCACGAACAGGTGGATAATTAATTGTCGTTTGGTTCCAACTATGCAGCAACATATTACGTTCTTCCTGTGTCACCACTGATAATGACCGCACCGATTTCTCTGGTGTGTTTGTTAATGCATCAGCAAGTGAGACGAGAGACTGTTGCATATAACCACAAATCCGCTCCGCTGATATTGGCGACAACACTTGGGCTGTTAGAGCCAGCTCATCACTGTCGTCATCAACTGACAAGGTTATTGGATAATTAGTTCGCTCCTCAGAGCTCAGATAAGTGACTCCATGCATCGATGTAGTGACCGATGTAGTGCTCGGCTGATTATGACGATAATTCAATAGCGCATTGAAAAGAGGCAAAGTTGCTGGCACACCGCTACAACGTTGCGCCAACGCAAGCGACGCATGTTCATGTTCTAGCAATGCACTCAAACGTGAGTGAGTATGACGCACGGCGCTCTCTGCTGTTCTCTCATCGATATCCAGCCTAATTGGTAGCGTGTTCACCAATAGTCCCATTGTGTTGTCATTCCCTCCAGAATGTAAACGACCGAATAGTACGGTGCCGAAGACAACTGTCTTGTGTCCACTGGCTTTAGCAAGTACTTGTGCCCAGGCCAAATGACAAAGACTGGCCAAGCTAACATGTAAATGACGTGCATGCACCCGTAACTGATTATTAAGTTCATGTGGTAACTTCAGATGCATTTCATCAATCGAAGCGCCGTCGCCATGAACGTCGCTCAGACCAAATGGAAGGGTTGGTGTATCAACGTCAGCAAGCATTTTTTCGAAAAACTGAGTATGTTCAGCTTGGCTAACTCCTAGACGAGCTTGAGCCACTAGATGCCGGAATGGTGTGGGTGGGGTCAACTTATCACTCTCTCCATCAATAATGGCATGCATTTCTAAATTTAGTGTTTCTAGTGTTGTGTGGTCACTGATTAAATGGTGCATGAGAATTACTGCCACCCAATTCTCTTCAGACGTTTGAGCAGCAAAAATACGCAGCAACGGTGCTTGGGTCAGATCTAGTTTGTAGTGACTTGGATTAAATCGGTTACTTAATTGTTCTAGAGCTCGCTCATTGGTTTCATCCAGTGTAACCTTTGTGAGTATTGAAGGAACTCGACGTAAAACAACTTGAGCCGGTTCACTGAGTCCTTCCCAGATGAAAACGGTGCGTAGAATATCATGTCGTTCGATCACTTGTTGCAAAGCGGCTGAATAACATTCGAGTGTCTCTCGGTCACTAAACTGTAGACGACTTACTAACAAGTACGAATCGCCATGCTCAGCCATCATATGATGAAACAAGATGCCTTCTTGTAGCGGTGCTAACCCATAAAGATCTTGAATATTAGCCATACCACCCGGCACCTGTGCTACTAGCAAATCAATCTCTGATTGAGATAGGCTAATAAGAGGTAACATATCCGGAGTAATCTTTGTGCTGTCTTCAGTAATCAAATTGGGTGGAATACTAAACGATTGGTGTTTGCCGAGAGTATCAGCTAGTGCGGCTAAGGTGGGAGCATCAAATATTTTCTTGACACTGGTATCTAAACCGGCTTTCCGTAGTTCTGTTAGCATTCGTACAATTAGCAAGGAATGCCCGCCCAACGCAAAGAAATTATCATTTCGGCTGATTCGTTCAATACCCAACAATTCACTCCAGATTGCGGCTAGTTTTTCTTCCATTTCATCTTGAGGAGATTCATATATTTGACGAGCAAATGCTTCATCGTCCGGTGCTGGAAGTGCACGTCGGTCCAATTTGCCATTCGGTGTGAGTGGTAATGTTGATATGCATACATATGCCGCCGGCACCATATAATTAGGCAATAGAGATGCCAGATATGTACGTAGATCGTTAGCCAGTGATGCATCTGGATCGGCCACTACATAGGCAACCAGACGTGTATCACTATCAATCTCGTTCTTCCATGGCTGCACAACCGCTTCGTGCACCGAAGGATGTTCCAATAAACGGGCCTCAATTTCACCGGGCTCAATTCGGAAACCACGGATTTTAACCTGTTGATCAGTACGCCCTAGAAATACAAGGTTACCATCAGGCAAATAACGAGCCAGATCGCCGGTACGGTACATGCGTGCCGATGGTTTGTCACTAAATGTATTGAGAAGAAATCGTTCCGCGGTAAGCTCTGCTCGATTTAGATAGCCGCGAGCTACACCAGCACCACTAATATATATTTCTCCTTCGGCTCCCAACGGCACTGGTTCACCATGAGCATCCAATAAATAAGTCTGTATGTTAGACAGCGGACGACCGATGGGGATCGAATTATTTCCAAAATCTAACGGACACGACCAGGTGGTTGCGCACATTGTTACTTCGGTTGGTCCATAGGCATTAAAAATGGCTGTCTTAGAAATGACACTTTGTAATAGGGATAGCGAAGGTGTTTCACCACCCAAAATTAGTGCTTGCAAGACCTTTAAGTCTGCAAGATCTGGTGTATTTCGGATCAGAGCTGGTGGTAAATATGCATGAGTAACATTCTCGGTTCGAAGATATTTAAGCAAGGATGTGTCCGTTCTGCGTATTTCATCATTTGGGAGGCAAAGGCAGGCTCCATTCGTTAGTGCCATTACGATTTCTTGTAGGCTGACATCAAAAGAGATGGAAGCAAACAGCAAAATTCGACTGTTAACAGTAACTCCGAAAAGTAGAGATTGGGCTTGAGCTAAATTAAACACATTTTGATGTTCTACCATTACTCCTTTCGGCGTCCCAGTTGAGCCAGAAGTGTAGATCACATATGCCAAATGGGCAAAAGTGAGCCCTAGTTTGGTCGAATCAGGATTATCGGTCGCAAGGTAACTAGGCAAGGTCTGATCTAAGTCCACCACTGAAATGTGATGGGTGCCAAGTGCTTTCTGACCACTTAAATCTGCCAAGAGGAACAAAGGGTCGGCATCATGTAGAATATTTGTTAGACGTTGGCTGGAGTAGGCTGGATCGAGGGGTAAATAGGCGCCACCGGATTTCAAAATGCCCAGAAGAGCTACGAGCATTTTGGTGCTGCGCTTAACGCAAACTGCGATGCGATCATCTGGCCTAACACCTTTTGCGAT